TTTCTGAATGTACCCTGGGGCGTGGATTTTTTAAAAAATATTTTTGTTAAAATATCCTGAGCGTTGAATTTTTCAAAAAAAAAAAAATTAAATGTATCCAGAGGCGCGGATATTTTTAAAGAAATGGTTTGAAAATGCAAATGTATCCATAAGCGTGAATGTTGTTAAAAAAATTGTTTGAAAATGTAGGAGTGGATATTTTTAAAAAATTGGTTTGAAAATGTACCCTGATTTATAAAACGATTTTTTTCTAGAAGTAAAATGATGCGGGGATTCGTAGATTGTCTTTTTTTTTTTATTTTTGAATATTTTTCTCAAGTTCCTTAAGGCTTTGATTTATAGAAATATATTTCTTCAGAAGTTCATGAATTTTAAAAAATATTTTTTAACAGTTCTTGAAGGCGTGAATTTTAAAGACGTGGAGATTTTAAAAATATTTTTTTTTTTTTGAAAATTTAAAAAAAAAAATTAAAGTTAATTTTGGCGTGGATTTTTTAAAAATATTTTTTGCGGAAAATTTTTCATAAGTATATTTTTCAAAGTACACTGAGGAGTAGTTTTTATAAAAATATTTTTTTCGGAGTGCACAAAGGCGTAGTTTTTCAAAAAAAAATTTTCGAAGTGCACTGAGTAGTCTTATAAAAATATTTTTTTCGGAGTGCACTAAGACGTAGTTTTTCTAAAAAAAAAAAAATTTCGAAGCTCATCGATTTTGGACAATTTTTTTATTTGAAGTTAATTGAGTCGGTTTTTCTAAAAATATTTTTCTCGGAAACTCTATGAGAAGTGGATTTTATAATAATGTTTTATCCGGAGGTTTATTGAGTCAGGGATTTTCGAAAATATTTTTTCGAAAGCTTTTCGAGGAGTGGATTTTGTGAAAGTATTTTTTTCCGGAAGTTCATTGAGGGGTGGATATTTTAAAAATATTTTTTTCTCTGAGTCGTGGATTTAAAAAAAAAAAAAAAACATTTTTTTCGGAAGTTTATTGAGGCGACGATTTTGTACAAATATTTTTTCGAAGTTCATGGAGGCGTAGATTAACAAAAAATATTTTTGCCCAGTTATTTGAGTCGTGGATTTTTAAAAGAATATTTTTTCGAGTTCGTGGAGGCGAAGGTTTTTAAAATTATTTTTTTTCGCAGTTCATGGATGCGTGGATTTTTAAAAAAATATTTTTTTTTTCATTCATTAAGTCATGGATTTTTAAAAATATTTTTTTTTTTTTGGAAACTCATGGCATGTATGTTGTAAAAATATTTTTTTTCGGAAATTTATTGAGGAGTGGATTTTTAAAAAATATTTTTTTGGAAGTTAATTTAGGCGTGAGTTTAAAAAACTATTTCTTTCCGGAGGTTTATTGAGGCGTGGATTTTTTAGAAATATTTTTTTTTTCTGATGCTCATTGAGGAGTGGATTTAGTGAAATTTTGTTTTTGTCGGAATATCATTCAGGAGTTATTTTTTAAAAATTCTTTTTTTGCCAAGTTCATTAAGGCGTGAATTTTGAAAAATATTTTTTAGAAGCTCAGTGAGGAGTGGATTTTATAAAAATATTTTTTTTCTGATTCTCATTGAGGAGTGGATTTTCTAAAAATACTTTTTTGGGTAGAACTTTTATGTGAAGATTTAAAAAATCTGAGTTCCTTGAGGCTTGGATTTCTAAAAAATGTTTTTTTTTTTTTTGGAGAACTTTTATTTGAAGATTTTAAAAAATGTTTTGTGAAAGTACTTTGAGGCTTGGATTTCTGGAAAATAATACTTCTATCTGTAGATTTAAAAAAAAACGATTTGCGAAAGTTTCTTGAATTGGGAATTTCTTAAAAATATTTTTTGGGTAGTTCTTTGAAGTGAGGAAATTCAAAAACATTTTTATGTTAGTAGTTTAAAGTGAAGACTTTTCAAAAATATTTTTTATGGAGTCCTTGGAGTGACTATTTTTCATAAATATTTTTTAGTGTGTCATTTTGAAAGGATTTTTTTGAATTCAAAAAAAAAAAAAAAATATATATATATATATATATATATATATAAATTTTGGAATATTATTAAATATTTAATTTCCCATATCTAATTTTTTTAATTTTATTTTTTTGAAATATTATTTTTTTAATTTCTTTGAAGCAAATATAAATAAAAATATTTGCCAGAGATTTTAAATAATTCAAGCCCTTTTCGAATATTCTCCCTATCGAAAAGTGATTTTTCTCATTCACCCAATTCTTATTTCCATTTCATTTTCCATTTCAATTTTCTTGTATTTTATTTATTCATGCATATGTTCTCCCCAAGGCATTTGCTCTAGTTTCTTCTTATTTTTATGTCCTTCTTCTTCGTTCGTTCGAAATTTATGGCAACAAAAACAGGAATTGCATTAAAATTTCACCAAGATGTATGTTTATGAGCAGAGAGTCAGGCTATGGCATGCCAACCTGGCAGTTAACCACAAAATACTGCCATCTTGCGATCGTCAGAGCAGTGTGTCAGTTGGCGGTTGTTTTGTATGCAGAGCGCATTACCGAGAGAGCTACGTCTTGAGCTACACGTACCAAATGCCCAGTGCTCACGTTATAAACAAAAAAAAAAGTGGAAACAAAAAACATGTAAATAGGTAGAAGAAGAAAAGATATTGTATTTTTGCAAAACAAAAAAAAAAATGAATGAATGAAAAAATACTTCCAGAACCACATAGAGAAATATTAGAAAATTATGCATGGTTGGGTCTTTGGAGGTTTCCTTTGGTTTCTTTTTGCAAAATTTCCATTTTTTGTTGTCATATTTCATACCAGAAGCGTATTTTTGCCCACTTACATATTGCGTTGCATTTTTTGTGATGTAAAAAGCTTACGAACATAACTCAAGGGTATAAATGTTACTGGGTTTCGAAAAAATATGTCATATATGGAAAGGGAAATAATGTTCCACATCGTGAGAATATTAAAAAAAAGGATTTTTTTATGATATTTTAAGCTGGGAACTGGATTAAAGATTAAAAAAAAACACATTCTATTCATATTCTTCATATGGCGTATGATTAATATCAGTTGCGTATGCATGATATTAATGCTAACTATTAGGAAAAATATTACTTATACGTATGGGAGGCAATTGGATCGAATAGTTTTTCAAAAAAAATATTATTAAGAAAAAATATTATTAAGAAATGTGCATTATAGAAAAGATGGTATGGAGAATCCTAGAAAATTGGATTTTTTTAAATATTTTTTAAAGTATCATTGGACGTAGATTTTTTTAAATATATATTTTCAAAGTAACAGCAGACATGGATTTGTTAAAAAAATATTTTTTTAGCATCATCTGACGTGGATTTTTAAAGCATATTTTTGTGAAGAATCAACGGACGTAGAATTAAAAAAAAAATATTTTTTTCAAATTATCAACAGACGTGGACTTTTTAAAAAAATATTTTTTTCAAATTTTTAATAAAATATTTTTTATTTTTAAGGTATCAAGAGACGTGGATTTTTTAAAACTATTTCCTCAAAGTATTTTTGTGAAGGAGCAACGGATGTGGATTTTTTAAAATATATTTTTTCAAATTATAAACAGACGTGGATTTTTTAGAAAATATTTTTTTTCAAATTATCATCAGAAGTGGTTTTTATAAAAAAAATAATTTTTCAAAGTATCAACCGACATGGATTTTTTAAAAAAATATTTTTTCATAGTAACAATCGATTTGGATTTAAATTTTTTTTTTTTTCGAAGTATCAACAGACTTGTATTATATTTTTTAAAGTATCAACAAATGTAGATTTTTTAAAAAAAATATTCTTTCAATATATCAAAAAACCTGGATTTTTTAAAAAAATATTCTTTCAATATATCAAAAACGTGGATTTTTTAAAACATATTTTATGTGAAATAACGTTGATTTAAAAAATATATTTTTTGTGAAGGAGCAACGGACGTGTATTTTTTAAAAAATATTTTGCAAAGTATCGAAAACGGGGATATTTTAAAACATATTTTTTCAAAGTATCAAAAAACGTGGATATTTAAAAAAAATATTTTTTGTATGAAGGAGCAACGGACGTGTTTTTTTAAAAAAAAAAAAAAACCTTTTTTGTGAAGGAGTAACGGACGTGGATTTTTTAAAAAATATTTTTTAAATTAACAACAGACCTGGATTTTTAAAAAAATAGTTTTTAAATTAACAACAGACCTGGATTTTTTAAAAAAATATTTTTTAAGATATAAACAGATGTGAATTTTTTAAAGTATCAACAGTCCTGGATTTAAAAAAAATTTAAGGTATAAACCGACGTTTATTTTTTAAAAAAAAAAATTTTAAAAATGTGTTTTCAAAGTACCGACAAACGTGGATTAAAAAAATATTTATTCGAAGTGTCAACAGAAGAGAATTTTTTAAAAAATATATTAAAGTATCAAGGGATGAGGATATTTAAAAAAAAATATTTTTTTAATTTATCAACAGACGTTGATGTTTTAAAAAAATATTTTTTCAAAGTATCGACAAACGTGGATTTTTTAAAAACAAATATTTTTTCAGTTGTCATCGGACGTGGATTTTTTAAAAAAATATTTTTCAAATTGTCATAAGACGTGTGTTTACGTCAAAACGTAAACCATTTTCATTTCCTTAAACTGTATCTTAAATATGAATAGCACCATTGTTATTGTACTATCCATTCGAACTGTTATCGCAGTTAAGATAATTATTCTATGTTTTCCTTTTCCCATTTTCATATTTTCTTTTTATCGGCCTTCTCTAATGGCCATATTGGGAGTCTAATTTCCGCATCATCTTGAATTCTGTTCTAATTCGACTTCTGAAGCTGTTAGTCAAATCCAGTGAAATCCTAATAAATATAATTCTTAGCTAAGAAAGTTAAAGGCTTTTGTTTCATTTATATTGGATTTGAGTTCTAATACTCTTCTACGTTTCTGCTAGTTATAACGTTCAAGATAAAAACTGGTCTTGGATTTTGTTTGGGCTCCAGAGAGTAAATTGTCTACATCCACAGCTTTCCCAGGCAATTCAGCCGTTTGCCTGAACATTTTGGTCCTTCGAGCCGGATCGACAAGCTGCTCTCCAGAGATTTCAGCTGCAGAAGCTTTTGATTCCTGTAGAACACGGTTTTGAGCACCCCTGCTCATAACACACATGGAAGCGAGCAACCTCCATGCATGATCTCTTCCATATTGTTGTTCACTCGCCTTGCTTGATCCATTCCATTCTCTTTTCAGCTTCATATTTATTCCTATGATTCTAGTACGCATGTCCATTGAGTACATGCTCTTACGTATGGATGCTGAGATCCAAGCTTGCCTTGTTCTCTTACGTTATTTTTCAGCTTACCTTCGACTTCTGTGGTCCGAGTGAGCATAGGCTACTCTTATGCATGTATGTGGTGAGCAGAGCTTGCACACTTCTCTTAACTCAGTTTCAGCATCACTCTCTTCTTTTCTATTGTTCGAATGCGCATGTCCACTGAGAATGCGCTTCTCTCGTGCATGCTGAAACTAAAGCTCAACTCAGCGTTCTCTTCCTCAGCCACATACATCCTATTGCAACCAATGTTTACATTCTCTGCTTTGAGTGCGCATGTCCAATGAGAATGCGCTAGTCAATTGTGGGTGAGATTACAGCTCAATCGTGTTGTTGTATCATTGCCGTGTAACTACTATTGCAGAGTTTGTGTTCTCCTGCTCAATCAGTTGTTACATTTGTTTCTTTTCTCTATTTATTTTTTACGTGTCATTCTCGCTGTTTGAGAGTGCGACACATACCAACGGAGGATTGATTGCTCAGAGCGGAGCATATCATTCCAAATTCTTCCAATTATTCCAATTCTTCCAAATTCTTTCCACTTACATTGAGTTCAATGAACTCTTGAACGATCAGCTGTTCTTCTACTTTGGCAAAGTTGGATTTTTCTTCGTGATGTGTCTGAAGCACATTTAGAAGTATTTAGATACAAATAGTAATATCTGGATACCAACGCACAGTGGTACCAAATATAACTTAAACAAAAAATATATATACTTGCCGCTATTTCCACTTTTACTTGAAAATTCAACCAATTAAATGTAATTAATGAGAATTAATTAATTGAAATTACTGGAGAAAAATATTATTCTACTGAAACTAAAATAAAAAAAATTAAAAAAAAATAATAAAAATAAAAAGAAAATAATTAAAACTAATAACAATCAAATACTTTAATTAAATTTTAAAGATATAAATTAATTATTTAATTAGCATTCGAAATCAGTAATAACTACGTCATTTGTATACCTGTGCTACTTTTTCTTCCACATTATATTCAAATCTCAAACCTACGAACAGGTACCGATTCCGGTGGCTAAAGGTTACTGTTCCAAAATCTTGAAAGTTTTTTTATTCATTATATATAATCCGCTTTAGTCTATTTATTTTTCTCGTTTGTAGTCATGTCACTCGACAAATTTATTCGCCTAGCTGACAGCTTGGTAGAATTTGAAGCGGCACTTATTGCCAATGAGTTTCCAACAAACAACGCGTTGTTAAAGGAAACTCATTGGCAATAAGTGCCGCTTCAAATTCTACCAAGCTGTCAGCTAGGCGAATAAATTTGTCGAGTGACATGACTACAAACGAGAAAAATAAATAGACTAAAGCGGATTATATATAATGAATAAAAAAACTTTCAAGATTTTGGAACAGTAACCTTTAGCCACCGGAATCGGTACCTGTTCGTAGGTTTGAGATTTGAATATAATGTGGAAGAAAAAGTAGCACAGGTATACAAATGACGTAGTTATTACTGATTTCGAATGCTAATTAAATAATTAATTTATATCTTTAAAATTTAATTAAAGTATTTGATTGTTATTAGTTTTAATTATTTTCTTTTTATTTTTATTATTTTTTTTTTTTTTTTAACTTTAGTTTCAGTAGAATAATATTTTAATAATAATATTGTTGGAAACCCACACTGAAGAGGTGAAATCCACATGGTCACATCTTAAGCAAGCTTATGAGCAATGTTTGGCGGACTTGGAAAACGAAGAAGAAGATGAAGAGGTGTCTGATGATCGAGAAACCAATGAGATAGCGACAGTAAAGGATAAATATAAGAAATCCTACTCCACTTACTGTCGTTGTATCTCAAAGCTCAATGAAGCTCTGGAACCTCTCTCTCCTTCCTCTTCTAGTCCAAGTTTACGGTCCAGTAACTCTTTTAACTTGCCTCCAATTGAGTTATCCACATTCCATGGGGACTACAAATCCTGGCCAAGCTTTCGTGACATGTTTACGGCCATTTGCATACGCAATTCCAAATTAAGCCCAGTAGAAAAATTGTTCTACCTAAGTCAGAAGACCAAAGGTGAAGCACACGACATTGTTAGGAAAAGTCCTTTGACGAATTCCGGATTCACCTTAGCGTGGAACAATCTATGTTCCAGGTTTGAGAACAAACGAGTGCTGGTTAATGGCCAACTAAAGAATTTATTTTCACTTGTCAATATTCATACAGAAACTGCAATATCCATCAAGAAGCTTCAAAGAGATATCAATTCTTGTATATCCACTCTAAAGCTTTATGATGTTGACGTTGAAAGCTGGAATCCGATTTTCGTGTTCATTTGTTCCAACTGTCTTCCAGATTCTACTTTAACTTTATGGGAACAAACACTCTCGGATAAAACCAGCATTCCAAAATGGTCTGAATTGGATATATTTCTTACCAACAGGTATAGAACATTGGAGGCTGTCTCTGAAATGAGAAGTTCTTCTGATTCCAAGTCCAAAGGGGATAAGTCCAAACCTTTAAATACAAAAAATCAGAAGGACAGGCTTCAGACATACCAAACCAACGTCAACAAAACTAAATGTCGATTGTGTTCCAATGAATTCCACATAATAAGGAAATGTCCTCGGTTCCTAGCATTTAATTACGCACAGAGATTGGCGGAAATAAAGGCCAGCAATCTCTGTCTAAATTGTTTTTCCAGCTCCCATGCTGTCAAAAATTGTAAAAGCAAAAATTCTTGCTTCAAATGTCAAAAACGACATAATACTCTCCTCCATAAGGATGCTGAGCAACAAAATATACCCGTTAGTACTTCTCCTGCAGCTTCCAATACACCACTTCAAACGCCTAGGACATGTGCATTCCAAGCTTCTCCAAATTCTTCCATACAGTCCACTAACTCTTCAACCGATGTTATTCAAAATTGTTTCGCGGTTAATTCAAACGGCGTTTTGCTTGGTACCGCTGTAGTAAAAGTTATTCATGCAGGTGTTGGTTATATAGCGAGGGCCCTCATAGATTCAGGTTCAGAAGGTACCTTTATATCTCAAAACCTTGCCAATGCCCTCAGGTTACCTTCCAAACCTACATCCGCTATCATATCAGGCCTTAATAACACGGTTTCAGCTGCTGTTCAAAAAGAATGTCGCTTTATCCTGGGCTCCTATGCGGATAAAGTTTTCGAGATCGATGTTTCAGCCTTAATTGTGCCTCATCTTTCTAATAACCTTCCAACCTGCACAATAGGGTCTGATATTCTCTATTCGCTACCAAAGTTAGACTTAGCTGACCCGTATTTTTACCGAAGCTCCAAGATTGATATCCTAATTGGCGCAGATTTACTTCCTTCTGTCATGTTATCTGGGTGCCAGCGAGCGATTTGCGGATCCTTATTCGCCCAGGAGACCGTATTCGGATGGATCCTCACTGGCCCCATTCCAACCAAAGCTCCAAAGTCCTTCTCTACATGTGTATCGTACTTCTGCGAAATTGCTTTAGAAAAAAGTCTTCTGAAATTTTGGGAGGTGGAGAATATTCCACAACAGCGTGTAATGTCCAAAGCAGATAGACAATGTGAAGAAATTTATCAGAGAACGACAACTAGAGATGGGAATGGAAGGTATACTGTTTCGCTTCCGTTTAAAGACGAATATTCCGATTCACTAACCTTAGGTCAGTCGAGAAAAGGTGCGATGGCCCAATATATTCGGAATGAAAGTCGTCTGCTAAAAAATCCAGAATTGAAAAGAGAATATGATCTTAATATTGAAGAGTACGTCAAACTAGGACATATGATTCCTGTTCTACCTCCTACAATCTCAGAATTTCCCGATCATTACTATTTGCCGCATCATGCTGTTGTGAAGCCAGATAGTTCTACCACTAAAGTCCGTGTGGTTTTCAATGCTTCTTACGCAACATCGAATGGTACAAGTCTAAATGACGTTTTGTACACTGGTCCAGCCTTACAGAACGACTTGACTATTCTCATCCTTAAGTGGCGTTTTTATCGCTATGTTTTCAGTGGTGATATAGAGAAAATGTATCGCCAAATCCTTGTGTCTCCTTCTCACACCCACTTTCAGAGAATCCTGTTCCGCCAGAATCCAACTGAACCAATAAAGGATTACGAGTTGAAAACTGTAACCTTTGGTGTTAACTGTGCACCGTATCTTGCGATACGTACGATGATTCAACTAGCCAATGACGTCCATGATTCATATCCATTAGCTAGTCATGTTTTGAAGAATTGCATGTATGTGGATGATGCCCTTGCAGGGGCACATGACATACACACAGCAATTTCAACCGTACGTGAATTAATCCTATCTCTGAAGTCCGCAGGATTCAACATGCGAAAATGGACCTCCAATTCAACAACAATTCTCTCGGACTTGTCACCCGATGATCTTCTTAATGATGGCTTTTTAGACTTTAACGCACATTGTGCAGCTAAAATGTTAGGCATTCGTTGGAATGCGTATTCTGATCAGTTTTATTTCTCCTCCATTGCATTTTCTCCCCATACTTATACCAAACGAGAGGTTCTTTCCCAAATATCAAGACTATTTGATCCTGCTGGCTGGATTTCGCCGGTCATTGTATTAGCCAAGATAATTATGCAAAAAATATGGCTAGATAAAGTGGGTTGGGATGAAGAGATATCACCAGAATCAATTGACTTATGGAAAGCATTTCAGTCTTCATTTTCTTCCATCAATGAGATTCGTGTTCCACGTTGGTTTAACTTTGTCCCAGACCATGAAATTGAATTCCACGGGTTTTCGGATGCATCAGAAAGGGCTTATGCCGCAGTACTATACATTCGAATTGTTTCTCCAACTACTGTGTACACCCACTTAGTGGCTTCCAAAACGAAAGTAGCACCGATTAAGTCCCTATCTATTCCTAGACTGGAATTATGTGCAGCTACTCTCCTTGCTGAGCTAATTGACA